AAAATTTATGTAAAATTAATTAAAAATATTTTAATTAAGAAGTTTTAATTTGTGTTCTGATATGTTAGATAAACTCATAACAAATTTTTTTTTTAACATGTACTTTTAAGATATAAATTAAATCTCATTAATAACAATATTTGTAATTAATTTTGTATAAATTTTTATATAATATTCAAATAAAATAAAATAAAATATTTATATTCAAAATTTATAAAAAATTATAAATTTGATATAAAAATTATGTAAAATTAATTAAAAATATCCTAATTAATGAGTTTTACCCTATACTCTTAAAATATATATTACCCAACCTCATAATATAATTTCTAAAGTTGAGTTTTGTAATTTTATAATGCAGCACTTAATCGATATGTTGTTGGAAGCTTCCCATTCTCCTCTCTCATCTCATTTTGGTGTAATCCATTCTAAGGGGTTGTTTGGTTTAACTTATGAGAGCTTTTATATTTTGAGTATTGTTATGAGTGATAAATTTAAATTTGTATTGGAGAAAAAATTTAAAAATTACTTTTAAATATAAGAAAAAATAGTGAAAAGTGACTAAAAATGAAATTTATGAAAAATTTAAATTTAAAACTTTTGAATTTTTATTGTTTAAGATTTTTTTAAAGTTAAAAAAATTTTAAAATTATTTTTAAAAACAAAAAAGTTAATAAAAATGAGTAAAAAAATTTATAAAAAATAAAAATTTAAATTTTTTTAAAATTTATTGTTTAAGATTTTTTTAAAGTAAAAAAAAAGAAGTTAAAAATGTAAGTTTTTTTTAAAAAAATTAAATTTATAAAATATGAAAAATATCAAAAAACTGAAACTCTTAAAAACTCACCTAAACATGCCCTAAATTGACTTCATGCAAGACTTTCTATTTCTAATATACTACAAAGAAAGGTTACCATCAAATTAATTAGGTTAAACATAATTTTTCATTTTCTTGAAATAGATTACACAGCCCACTTAAACTAGAAAAAAGGCAGCCAAAGCATCCCACTACAAAGTATATGTTTAGTAATTTTAGTGGTAGGTAGATCGAGGCGACTCAATTTCATAAATTGAAAATGATATAATCTTCCATGACCCCACGCGGACAGAAGAAAATGATGGAGCAGCAAACAAAATCTGGGACGCTCGGCAGTACGGATTCTCTTTCCCGATCTTTTCTGAATGATTTACGAACTTAATTTTTTTATTTAAAAAAAAAAGAAACATTTTAAACCAAAAAAAGAAAAAAGAAAATACATATAAGTTTAGAAAATATA